ATCCTTCCGGTACGAGCTTCGTTGCACCCTTCACCCCTCTCTCTCTCTCTTCTCCTCCTGTAGCATAATTAATTCCGTGCCAAGCATAAACTGTAGAACGAGACAGCGCAACCTTCCTCTTTTTCTTTTACTTCGCGAAGAAGGAAGGAAGGAAGGAACGAAGGCCCTCTGCCAGGATTTCATAAATAAAGATACAAACAGCCGGATCGCAAATAAACTTACAAAGTATTGGAAGAAGCCCGTGGCTGTCGGTGCTCACCTATAATCTCGATGGCGAGGACGAGGTGTACGAAGGACGAGAGAGAACGAGAGAGAGAGAGAGAATAGGGTAAAGAGGCAGCTGAGAGAGGAAGAGAGGGCTGGCAGGGCAAGCGTACCAGCATGGATCGATAGATCGATCCATCGATGGGTCCATCCATCGGTAACACGCCTCTACCGATCGCCTCGTGGCTCGTGAAGCTCATGAGCGAGCAGATGAACGAAGAGAGCGGATGAATCGCCATTGAAACGATACTCGAGGACTAAATAGGATAAACAGAGAGGGAGAGATAGAAAGAGAGAGAAATGGAGGCCTGAGGGGCCCCTCGTTGCACAATTATCTCATTTGCCGATCGGACCCTCCCACGTGTTAATTTGCTTGTTGGTTAACCCGGCGTCCCTCTTATCGTTTATTTCGTTCTTGCCTTTCGTGGAACCCTCCACACCACCTCCTCCCTCTATCCTTCTCCTTCGTTCTCTGTCTTATGAGGCTTGCTGGCCTTCCTCCTTCCTCCTCGGCCTTCCCTTGTCCTCGAAATCGCGGCACCGATCGCCTCCACTCGCGTCTGCCCCGCTCGAAGATCGACCAACGCTACGTTTCGCGTACTCAGACGATCCACCTTCGACTCGGAGAAAATCTGTACGAAGAACGGCTTGGAAATTGCCTGATTTCGGTTTCTATGGTGTTCACTGCGATTTCGGTTGAATAACGAAAATTTTAGGCAAATCGGAGTTTCTAATGAAATTCGTCGAATTTTTTTCACCTGTTACGAAAGTAACGAATAAGGTTTGGAAGATTAAGGTACGTTTGTCGTGGAATACATAAGAGAAAGAAGTTCAGTGCATCGGTGCAAAGAGGTTTACAGAATCTCGAGTGGCTTTGATAAGATGGGAATCTTTTGATTAATGTCTCCTGGTATTGCTCGAGCCATCTGACTTTGATTCGATTTGCTGTGGTCAAGTGGATGGAACTGGGTAATTGTCGTAGCTGCGCGTTCATCTCGAGGAGCGCTTCTACGATCGTATCGAAGTATCATTTTCTCAGAATTAAAGTGTACTGAAGTATTTCTTGAATTAACTTAAGAATGCGCAACCTGTGTATCTGCCAATAGCAGCAATTTATTCAAACTTTTTGTGTTAACAAATTGCTCCACAATTCCACTATCTCATTCGCCCAAAATGAAATACTTAACAATGGAATTCAAAAATATTCAAATATTTCCTGAAACCTATCTATCAATAGCAACGATTAATTAAAATGTTTTCATTGAAAAAACTGCTTCGCAATTCGACTACATGTCTCCCAGCTTTCACTAGAAATTCCAATTGTTCTCCCGCCAATTACCCAAGATTTAATCGCGACCTACCTCATCCACCGAAAATGTCTCGCGCATAGTTTATCTTGCAAGAAGCTAAAGATTAAACGTCTCGGGTAATCGCGAGCGATATCGTTCACGATAACTGTCCAACGTACTTCTCGACTACAAAAGCCAGAGTTTCCACAGATAGAGCGAGATCAACAAACACAGGGGACTAGTGCAAAGTCCAGGTGAAGATAATGGTGGCGGTGAGGTTATGATATCGATCAATGACCAGATCGATCGGATCTAGCCCGCACTTACCACTAATCATCGTCTAGACAATTTATCAGGCTTATCGTAAACTCGACAATAAGATCGTTATTTCGAGATCATGAGACGATAAGCAAAGCCAATGATCGCTGAAACTACGAAAGATTACAATCTGCTATTCTCCTGTATGTATCTACTTCGAGACCACTCGAACAATGATCTCTCTGTTGTTCCAATTTTTATCTTCGATCGTACGAGAAAATTCTACGAGACGGCGGGAAGAAGAAAGGAAATAAAAGCGAAAGAAAGACAGAAGCTCAGATTGTAATATTTTTACACTATCGTCTAAGATTAAGAATTTCAAACTTTCCTAACTTTTCTCAGCTATCTCGCGAAGTGTTTCTCTAGAAAAGCTTCCCTGAATATTCAAACAAACTGCGTCGAGAGTGGGGAGGAAGTTTTCCTCTTTTACTTGTTAATTAACATAAACGTTAGGGGAGAGAGGGCAACAATCTTTCATAAGTGTTATATTCGTTCAGAATTTTAAAAAGCCTACCCTCCCTTCCCTTCCACCCACCTTTTCTGTACGAGATTAAACGAGAAACCGTCGGGAGATTCTTGGCAACCAGTTTCCAACTTAATCACCGAAACCGTAATCACCGCTAATTCATCTCGACTGAAGGTTTTAATACAGCGTAATTAACAAAGCCTGGACAATGTTGCAACAGCGGACGATTAAATCCGTCAAATACTGGTTTTAATCGAGGATCGAGTGTATCAATCAATTCCAATCACTCGATGTCTCTGTAAATAAGTGATTCCTTCGCGTGTGTATACGTATAATAAACTTGGAAGAGTAATGCAACGAATAAATAATTTATTCAATCCACTTTTCACTTTCGTTTAAACAAGAGTTACTAGCTACCGCTCGGACAATAATTACACATGTACCTCTAAAAATAATCGAACAAAAGAAGAGTTTAATGATAAATTTCACGTGTTCAACGGTAATCATTATGTCACCGTGCAAGTTCGTGCCGGAAACGAAAAATATTTTAATGAAAAACCGAAGTTTTATAGCGATAGCATAATGGACGTATCAAAAAAGTGGGAAGACGTGGAACGAGAAGGCGATTACTTTTTTTTCTGTTTAATTTAGAAGTATGGTTGAAATGTTGATTTAAATTTCGGGATGAAATTCGGCACGAATTTATAGGACGACTTAATATACCGGGTGAGGTAAATAAAGCGCGACAAATGAGGATGTTTTGCTTATCTCAAAGGTAGTTCGAGTGAGTTCGTAGAATTTCAAATAATTTATGAAAACGGAGCAAATATCAAGTAATTTTCCATGTGTTTATGGTGTTTAGAGAAATTACGAGCATGCTGAAAAGAGTTGTACCTTTTACTCTATCCTGATCTTAAACTTTATACGTGAATGTCAATTTTTTAGACTAGAAAGAGAATTAAAGAGACGAACAATTTGGAATATTTTCAAGGTAAGGAGATCGATTATGCACTTAAATATATGCATACTCAAAACTATGCGCTTCCATTTGAAGAAAAAAGCAGTGACTTTCAAGTTTCCTTGACATTTATAAAAAAAACAAAAAAATTAAGCCATAAAGTTGAAATTAGTTTGCTATTATATACGTCACCCTGTATATTTCTTATTCGAATTTTCCACCGGTACAATGATAATCGAACGTGTCATCGCAAATAAATCATCTTTCGTGATCCGTCAATTGTCGCAAAAGTAATCCGCTAAGCGAATAATTCACTAAATGCTACTTTTATTCGTATACTAATTATTTCCCATGTTAATAGAATTAAAGAGAGGATCGTGACGATCGTGGAGTAAAACTGGAGAGGAAACAGGCGTGTAAGCTCGAATTCGGGGAACAAAAGAGGCGGGCAGAAAGCTGGAAGCACGGGCGGAAAGAGAGGCAACGGACGACGATGCCGGCGACACAGGGAGGAAGTGACGTCACGGCAAAGTAACGAGCCTCGCTTAGCCGCGATAAGCTGGTAATCGCGCGATCTTAATGAACTCCTCCCATTAACGCTCCGAGGCCGCGACCGGCAACGTTCGACGAAACCCCTTCCTTTTTCTCTCTCTGTCCGCCTGCTTTCGATCACCCCCGCCGGAATCGGCCGGACGAGAAATCGCCCGGCGATCGATCCACACTACGGTACCAAGAACTCGATCCACGGTTCCTTTCTGTTTCTTCGTTTTTTTAATTTTATTCTGGGAAAGAAATTGACGATTTTTCGTGGATTTTTTAGATCTAGAATTGCAGTTTATTTCGGGAAAAGAAATTGTTAATTTTTTCTTGGATACTTGAGATCTAGAATTTGATTTTATTCTGGGAAAGAAATTAGCGATTTTTCGTAGATGCCCTGTGATCTAGAATTTTACTTTATTTTTAGAAAGAAATTCATCACTTTTCGTGGATTTTTAGGATCTGAAATTTTACTTTACTTTGGGAAAAAAATCGACGATTTTTCGTAGATGTTAGAGGTTTGGTAATTTAGTAATTTTACTTTATTTATCTATATTTTATTTTATTTACTTTGGTACGAGTTATCGGTTCAAATATATTGCAACAATGTTATGAATGAAATTATTGTTAAGCAACTTCACCTTTATTCCAGACCGATACTTCGTAGTATCCAAAGTACCATGACCGACAGCGACGTATTACTAACATAACTGAGTGGGAAATTTCGAAGTGTACACGAGATAACGTCGCTAGGAAGATAGAGTGATAGTCAACCGACAACGTATGTGACGTAACTCTGCTTTATGAACTTACATATTTCCTATATACAGTGTCTCGAAAACGTTCACCACCAAATCGCCCCAATTTCATAAATCAAACCCTGTAAAACAGAAACCAACCTAAAATGCACTACGTTTACATTTCAATCTTCGCCGACAAATCCACCTGAAATTTTCAAACCACCTCACATACTTTCTAAACACACAAATTTCCTATACACCGTGTGTCAAAGATATCCACCGTCAGACCTCCCCAATTTCCTAAATCAAACCCTTCGAAACGTAAACAAACCCAACACCTTTAACCTGTATATTCCAATTTTCACCAAAAAATCCGCCTGAAATGTCCAAAAAATTCCAAAATCATTTCCACGGTAGAGATCACTTACTTGTCAAACTTAGGGTAGCTTCCGCTCTCAGCTGGCTGGCCCTGCGTTGCCTCCACAGCAATATACTCATCGCGAGCGGTAGAGGAACTTATTCAACACTCACTCACCGTACACTTCTTTCATCCTCCAGAAGAAAAAAACGAAAAAAAAAAAAAAAAGAACAAAGTTCAGGACAAATCGTTCACTTCCAGGGACGAAGAACGAAGAACGAGCAACACTGTCCAATTCCACGCACGAATAGCACACGTAGAGCGCGAAACATTGTGTTTTCGTCGGCTGACGGTCACGCACTGTGTCCCATTCAAATTTTCCGGCTTGCTCGAGCACGCGATATTCGGCTGACTCAACCTCGCGCAACCGTCGACACGCTCTCCCGATTTTCAAGGTGGCCCACCGATCGTACAGCTCGATCAGATCCGACGAGATACCGCGTCACGTTATCGACACGAGGCTCGCGAGAACGCCACTATCGACGATCGAGATCGCCAACCCGTGATTACGATTCCGTTCTTTATCCAATCGATCGCGTGTACAGACACACATCGATCCTTTCTCTGTCTCTGTGCTATCTGTCTCTGTCTCGTCCCTTGTTTATTCAAACACACGCGATTTCATGGTATCTGCAGTTTAGTCACACGAATACCACCCTTTTCGACGATACAGCCTTTTTCAAACGATCGCGCACCGAGCGGAGAGAAAACCGTTTCACGCAAACCACGAGAAAAACGACTTTGTGCGTCTTCTGTCAGCCCGTTATCGCGATCGTCTCCTGATCGATCATCTAATCGATCTGCAGCTTTTCAATCATCCGTGTCGTGCTATGTTTGATCTTTCGTACATCACGTTATCTGGTATTGGTGATTCGAGCGCGGGAAGATGGTTTCTTTTTATTGTTCTAGTTGAGAGAAGTTTGTTGGATTAAGCGGTGCGAAGGTGTGTGACTGATTCGATTTTGAGAAGAGCGAGGATGAATTTGTTTCGTGGGTTGAATGTGAATTTCGCGTGGCTCTGAAGCACCTTTATTGGTGTTTTCTTTATGTTGCTTATGAGTGCAGAACAGGAGATCCAATTTTTGCTTCTTTTTCTCACCGAAAGAATTCAAAGGTCAGATTAAACAGACGATAAAATTAGTCTGTATTCTCTTTATGGTTATTTTATCGTTCACGAAGATTGAAACAGCGAGTTGAAACCTACTTTCTCCCTGTTAGATGGTACTGCAGTCTCAATTGCGATGCAGATGGTGCAAGTAATCCATATTCATGAATCATTTTCATTATCGTCTATTACATTCGTTCAATTTTCTATACCTTCACGAGATAGAGCACAAAAATTCAACGAAAACACTGTTTTTGATCATTTTTCTATCTTCGTCAAACCTGCGCAATTAACCCCACACAATATTACATCAATGTAACACCTCATACCTTAAGGAAGGTACTAAAAATCCAATTTCAATCACTTCACCGAAAGAAAAATTAAAACAAACTCCCTGCGTCTTTACACAACTAACCTCACTTTATACAGTATCAATATATCACCCCCACAAATCCTCTACACAATTCTCAATTCAGTTCCTCAGACGTTAACCAAGGAACCAATAATCCAGTTCCAACCGCTTCAAACAAAAACGAAAACAAACCCTCTGCACCTTCACAATTAACCCCACTCGCTATCACATCAACGCAACACCTCGCAAATCCTCAATTCAGTGTCTCACACACCTCAAAGTACCAACAATCCAATTTCAACCACTCCACCGAGCAGAAATTAAAACGAATCACCTACACTCTCCATCTCCAAACTTTCTCTATCACTAGCCAATATCTTAATCCTGAACGATACACCTTTCGCTCTTCCATCATCTGCAGAGAGATGAAAATAATCGCCGAACGATCGATCCCTTTCGCCAATTAATCCCACTCAATATCTCCGTTGCCGCGGTGTCACTTGAATCCGGGCAACAACGATCGCGAACGTTTCGATAGATAGATATAGAGAGCGAGAGGGAGCAGGAGGAAGAGCCGGTAGGCCGATTGTCGTCGTTGTAACGTTGTAGGCGAGAGTACGGGAATAAACGAGCCACGCGGATAATCCGCGTATCGCGGCCGGGCTGCACTCGCTCCGACAGCTCCGGGGACCGACTCTTATCTACCCGTTGCCCGATAAGCCGCCACGATCGGCATCTTATCGATCGTGCACACGCGCAACGCGTGTGCCTGGAACACAGCGTCGCGACCGGAAAACCGCCAGCTAATTGCGCACGAGCCACGACAATTAGAAGGCACGTTCCCAGCCGGGCGAAATTTTCGTCACTGCCCCACGTCGGTTAGATAACGTCTGTGACACCTGGACCACGATAAGGGTAATTGAATGCGGACAACCGGATAGCGTTCGTCGCTTTGACGATACAGAGGGATGGTTCGAAGTGAGTGCAGTTCGAGATGCCCTTTCGATCGAACGTGGACGGTTTCGATCACGAGGATTATTGGTCAGTTGTTTCTCTGCGATAGGGTGTGTATTGTGTTTTGAGAATTTGAAGAAAGTGGAGAGATTAGTGTGGATTCATTTTGTTTGGGAAGGTCGGGATAGATCTTATTTGGTGTCTCCTCTTGTAGAACGTTGTGTCCAATGAATTTAGGCTGTGAAGAGATTACAAGTGGCTCTTTGTCTTTTCTGGTAGTGTTTGTATGATGTATTGTATTATAAAATGTAGGAATTATTTATGTTGCGGTGTTTGTGCCTGTTATTGTATAGGACTTTATCGCTGCAATAACTATCTCCTCTTGTAGAAGCTTGTGATCTATGAAACAAGGCTGTAAGTCCAAGTTCTACGATTTTCTCTTTAACGTTGAATATTGTTCCTTCTACTCGTACAACTTTTTCTTTCCGAAGTAACCTGTACTATCTAGAAAAAATAGCTGCACTGGACGTATTCTATTAATTCGTGCATAGAAAATGATCAGCTCTACTTCATCCGGTACTTCTTCGTTCCTCGAGATAGTTCACTGGACACTTTGCACACACCTGTAGTCTTTACTGCAAAAGCCTAACTTCTACAACGTGAATCTCCAAATCCCAATATCTCTTTGACAATAGAAAGCAAAACCTGTCTCTCTCCAAACAAAAATGATTCCTCTTCATCGGCAAAACATTAGGTCCTGTAAGTTCCAAACAGCCCAAGTTCCTACGCCAGAATTACCGTCTTTTCACATCGAAAGCAACAGAACTCGCAGAACGTCCTCCAAAATTCCAAATTCAATCTTCACCGAAAACTTCATCCAACAATAATCTAGAACTGCACCAGAAGCCTGACGAAAGCTTCGTACAACGGGACAGTCGACGTGTCCACAAATCCACAGAGCTCAAGAGGGACATTCAGGCTTACTATATACGTATGTGTATATATATATCGGGCTATCGTCGGTTTTCGCGGACCAGATCCGCGTTTAACGCGAACGCGAGAGACTTTCGTCGACCAGGCGGAAAGCACCTTTCTCCGCGCAGACTGTTTAAAAGCAGAGGGTAAGACGAAACCGCAGAGGAGCGAGATGCTCGCCGCTGCGGGGAAGCGCTATCACTGGTTTCCAAGCGGCACCGAGACCCATGGCAATGGCTACCTGTTATCACTCTCCTCTCTCTCTCTTGCTCGCTGCTTCTCTCTTGCTCTCTGCTTCCGTCCCCTTGGCACCCTGTTTTCCTCACTCTCCCTCGCCCCGCTCGCTCACTCTCTCTCACACGTCTGTTCTGTCGTCTCGCGATAATGCTCGGGCAAACATTCCGCTTTTCCCTTTTGCGTCTACGGGCCAGCAGGCTGGTTCGAGTGGAACACGGCCACCTTCCTTCCTTTTGGAACGAAGTGTGAATCGACGATTGTGTCCGCACACTTTGTCGCTACAAGGATCACGGTTTTGATGCAGCTTCGCGGAAATCACGCCGTAAGCATCAAAATTCTCTATATTTTTCAGTGGCAGTAGAAACTGTCGCTATTTCTATTCACACCTGTTAATTGTTAATCCTTTGCGTCACAGTGGGGTTACTGTGAAAATACTGTTTCGTATCGGTTTCGCTAATGGCTTCTTAGGTTTGAAACGAAACCTATTATTATAGATAGAGTAATATATTTTGCAAATTATCACATTTTCCACGTTCCAGCTGTCTCCCATTCCATTGTGCATTGCAAGTTGCACAAAAACTCCCCAAAAATGTTAGCATTTATAATTATTTTCCAACGAATTTTTTATCATTCAAATCAATCAAAACGAGGTAAAGTGCTACTGGTCTCCACAGTATCAATTTCGAATCAATAAAGAATTAGTAGCAGATTCAATATTAATATAAATTGGCAGGTGATTCCAAACTTTCGGCCGGTAGTGTATTATAAAAATAATATTCTTAGAAAAAGAAATTTTGTATCTATAACCTTAACCTTGACATATATTTTCAAGCTTTTTGCTATAAAGTAAACGCGTTGGTCTCTCCTCCAAGAAATTCTAACCTAACCTAATCTTCGTAAAATCAGAATTAGGTTAGAGTTAGGGTTTGAATTTGGGCCTAATTCTGCTATATTTCACATCATCTTCACTAGTGACTTCCATCTTCAGTTCTCCGCTCGTTTGTATCAAAACAATAAATTTTCGAAATTGCATAATTAAGTATATCTGTAAACATGTACAACAAACGTTAGCCTTTTCGAAAGATGCGTTTCTTATCAGAGGCCTCAAAAGGGTTAATCTTCGTATCATCAAGCACGCTCGATCGAAATCCCCTACCATAAGGACTGTAACCACACGATCACGTCATCGAACAACGATTCCATTGTAATCAACCGGTTGTATCAACATACTTGCCGGAACGATCGCGCGAATTGCTGCACGGGCATCTTGGTAGAAGAAAGAAGGCGTGTGGAATATCGCGTCATTGCCAGACTTTGGGGCTCCTGTCACTGGCGTCACGAGGCTTGAACTTCGCCGATAGCGCAGCCATGATAACGGATAACGATAACGCCTCGGCCCCGATACTCGTAACACGCCGTTCCGTGACTAATGGCGATAACGATAAGGACGATCGTAA